TTTTTATCCTCAGTGAATGAAGTCTGCAGTTGATGTATCCAAACTCTTCACTAAAATCACAGAAACACAGAATCACAGAGTGGTTGAAGTTGGAAGGGACCTCTAGAGATCATCCAGTCCAACCCCCTGCTCCAGCAGGGACACCCAGAGCACAGGGTGGCATCCAGGAGGGTTTGGAAGACCTCCAGAGAAGGAGACTCCACACCCTCCCTGGGCAGCCTGTTCCACTGCTCTGTGCACAATTTGACAGTACATGCCTCAAGAACTACAAGAAGAAACAGTAAAGCACGTTATTAGCTATCACTTTATCAAAAAAAAGGGAGGAAATCACACAATATGGATTCATTCAATCGCCTCAAAAACACTATCCTACTCACTGGATAGCCCCATGAAACTTCCAGAAAAACAAATTAAGTCTATCTATGCATTCAAGTAGGAAAATTAATATTGCATAGGAAAACATAACTTATTACATAACTTTAAGAGTGTGACAGTGTTCCACTCCAACACTTTTGCATTGCGAGTGTTCTCTGCTAATGGTATTTTTCTGTGAAATTTTTCAGCAGAATGCCGAAAAATGCTCTCTTGCTTTGAAAAAGAATAAATTATGACAACAAAGTATTTACTTGTCAGTAAACAACAAGGATGCCAGTGTGTGTCCACAGACATCAAGAAAGGCAGTAGTCTGAAACAACATTAGGAGCTCTGGTTTAGACTTATTAGGCTTAAGATGATAATTACACACTCTTAAGACGTCAAAAAAAAACAGTACTTCAGCTGAGAGAGATGGTGCTGGATCCAGAGCAGACACTATACACGGTGAGTCATCAGCTTAAACATGATAGTTCTAATTACTATTTGCAAATTTGATTACCCAGAAATAAGAGTAAGAGGAGAAAAGAGCAGAAAGCCAAGGGCACGGTCCTGCAAATCCTCACAAAAAAAAGTTGGAAGGAGAATGATCATCTTCCAAATGAAAAAACAATTAATGAGAGAGAGAAGGGGAATGAGCAGAGAACAGTTAAAGAAGCCAAGAAAGMGCAAAATTTTAAAAATAAAAAGAATAGTAAACACTACTAGAGGCAGTTGGCAGGGCAAAAAGGAGGAAGGGAATGTACTTAGTACAAGGGGTCAGGACAAGTGTGGAAAGGACCCAGGATGAACCTGGAGGAGCTGCTCTTCATACAGGGATTGCAAGCAGCTCTCTCAATGACTTTCAACCTAGAAGGGAGATGAAGCAGAAGTTCAAAAAATATATGGGGCCAAAGATGGGGTGTAATAGAAAGAGAATAAAGAATGTTTGTATTGAGAGGAAAGTATGCAAGGAARCAAGGCAAGAGATAGCAACAGATAAGACAGAGCTACAGTACAAGCTAAACGACTTAAAGGACAGGAGATAAAAGCTGTCTGTTATACTAGGGAAGGAGAGACCTACTGGACAAGGAAAGATAATTAGAAGAAATAGGAGGAGATTTGCACTGTATTTCACCAGTTTTCTCTCTAAAAACACATGCAAAACCCTATAAGGAAAGGAGGAGATGCAATAAGCATGATAAGATTAAGAAATTCCATTTAACTGCGGAATGTGTCTTGGAAAACAGCGTATTGCATCAAGAGGCACAGCCCCTCAAATAGTAAGAATTCTTAAATCTCCACTTTACAGATGTTATAAGAATGCAATATTCATGTGGCATGAGCAGCACAAAGGGTGCCCGTGTTCAGGTGGCTATTGCTACGATTCCTGAGACTGTTCTCCAAGGCACACACCGTTCCTGTAAGTAAATCCCACGTTGTTTTTTTCTTCCCCTTGGTGTAGTAGCACAGACCAGCGCTACATTATCGTCATATTGTTTGCACTGAAATTCATGGTATGCAGTTTGTATTGCTGTGTACAAGGAACTGCATATCATTATTTCATAATATGATAAATTTAGCAACCTCTAGACATTTTATAGGCAATWATTTCACGTTTTCCTCCAGGTCACTGCTAAAAGTATTGAATATTAGGCTAAGAGAAATATTAATGTGCTTACATAATAAAAAATGTATAGTACCACTAAAAAAGCTACCAGTTCAGAAAGTTCCTTTGTATATCTGTTCAGAACCCTTCCCAGAGTTAAAAACACAGAAAAATACACACAGAAGTTGATCAGTAATCTTGCAGTACTTCCACATGAAGGCCACCACGTTGAACTGAAGCCACTGCAACACTAGACTCAAATACAGAAAAAAGGAGGCAGAGGAAAGGCCTTATTTTGCTGTGTTCTATATAGTGATCCATTTAGACTATTTATATATCCTTTAAATAGTAAGCAGTCTTCTGTATAATTAACAGCATACAGTCATACCATCTACTGCCAACACCAATATTCAATGTAAAGATCTCAGTTCAACGGTGCCACCATCACAATAATAGTATATGTTTAAGAGAAAAAGATCACAATAGAAGCGATATTCAAGCAAGTGAGGAGAGGGAGGAGACAAAATTTCCTGAACTAAGTGAACCACAGAGATATATTAATCAGAACACAAAAGCAGGTTGAAACAAATGCTAATTGACTTGGATCGTATCACATCAATACTTCATGCACAGGGCCTCCCCTGAAATCAATGGGAGTTTTGTGCATAAATGGATTGTATAATATAAATGCATGCCCCTATTCAGGCTCCACATACAATAGAGAAAGCAGTACTAAGAACAATTCCCAGAATTAGCATTTCTCTCCCATTAAATGTTTCTAAAATAATAACAGCTAACTTCACATAGCTCTGCTTTCACTCACAGATTTTACAAAATGTGGTAAAATAAGTGACCCTATTTGACAGATAAAGCATAAGATGAGAGCTAAACTGAAGAGCCGAGTAGCAGGCTGAACTGAAGGGAGAATAGAAGTGTGCCTCCTGAATCACAGCTTAATGTCCTAGCTATTTAGATGCTTATCTAGCTCAAGCCTCTCATTAGAGTGATTCTATGCAGTTCTCATAGAATTTTGCCTACTTCCTAAGCATTGCACACACTGACAGGCCTAGCCCCATGATTTTCCCCCTCGGTAATACCCTGCAAATGTCCTAGCAAGTTTCAAAATACTGACAACCTCGGTCATATTCACTTAAGTTGTACCTCAGAACTCGTCAGCAGCACTGAAGCATGTTAAATTGACTTGCTGTCAAACTGACACTTTCCRTATGCAGTCCACTATTTAAAAAGAAGAAATAGATTTAAGAATAACTTAAAATAACAATTCATTAGCTGGAAGTTACCTAATCCTGGTGTTGCAGCTTGCTATAGAGTGCTTGTGCTACAAGAGAAAGCCAAAATGAATCTCCATTTTAAACAAAAAATAATAGAACCTAACATAAAAATCCAAATACACAGATTGCAGAAAGCTTCCAGTCTTGTTAATCTGTGACTCTTTTGTAACAAAGTCCAATTTGACCAAAAAAAAATTACTAATGTGGTATTAAGTTACAAAGAAAAGAATGGACTTGAATCTAGGGAATAGATTTCACTTGCATGAAACTATAAAAAAAAAATATATATGGTATATAAAAATCTGCCTTCAGTCACACAAATAGTCTATTATATACAGACCAATCCAAACTGAGGTTCTGAGTATTTCTCCTGTGAAAAATCCACTTTGAGACACTTAGAACCTTACGAAAGGTCGATACTGCAACAGTTCCACTTTAAAGTCAAAAGTCTTACATGTGAAAAAGTACTACATTATAGCGGGTTAGTGCAATCGCAAGCACAATAACTTCTCTTCACTAAAGACACCAGTCCAGGATAGTGTAAAAACAACGTTATTTTGAATATGAGTTTTCTGCTCTTCACAATGTTACCGGTGACCGTTTTTAAAGGAAGACTGGTTAGTTTTTGTCATGGTTTTCGTTTTTCAAACTTCTGTTGGAGCTAAGTCTGTCACCAACAAGACAGGTGAGAGACATGACTGCCGAGGCACGGCCATGCGTACACAGGACTGTTTGAAGACTTACTTTTCTGATTCATCTTGGTATTTTTCTCAAGCTGTCAAAACAAACACCACACCCGCTTGATTTCCGACTTGCAGGGAACTGCGTTTAGACCTAGCAATTGCAGTGCTTAATCACACGCGCTTTAGACATCGCTTTACCTACTTAAAGAAGAAACCGGCAGGCTCAAACACGGTGTGTTTGCCGTTTATTTAGCAGCTGACCCCAAAGCTCTTCATCCTGGGCCGTTGCCACTGATGCGGAGAGCCGCAGGCACCAGGCTGGGGAATCCAGGGCAGCCRCTCAGGCGCTGCCTCTGCCCCAGAGCGGGATCAGCTGCTCCTCAGCCGCTCCTGCCACCATCACAGCGCGGCGACACCGAAGAACTGGTTGTTCGGAGCAGCTCTGCACAGACAAACACCCTGCGACCCAGCCCACCGGTGTGGGGTATGATCCAGCTTCCAAGAGGGAAGCCAGAGGCACCCGGTTTTCCAAGGGAAACGTTTGGCAAGCACTGACCTCCTGCTCCCAACAAGCTCGTTCTGCCGGAGCGGGACRAGCCACGCTGGGATTACCTCCATGAGGATGACACACGCCCGAGCAGAAAACCCAGCATAATTATCCCTTTTAACCGCTCACACCTGCCAGATAAGCACTTTTTTGGGGGGTCTTTTCTTCCCCTCCAGCCCCTGAGGAGCCGCAGGGCTGTGGGGGAGAGAGGCGATCCCCTCCCRCCYGCTTCCCGCGCCCTTCCTGGAAATTTCGGAAAGCACTGCGCCAGGGCCGGGCTGGGGAGCGCYGGCCGTGTCCCGGCCCGGGGGACACAGAGCCCCTATTGCGGCCAGCAGGCAAAGTGGCCCGCGGCTCTGCGCAGGGAGCGGGCAGCCAGGGAAGGGAACGAGGGAAGGGAAGGAAAGGACGCGTCGCGGAGGAGCCGCCGCCGCGGCAGCAAAAACGTCGTCGGCCTCGGGCCGAGCCGCGCTGCTCCCGCGGGGCCGGTCCCGCTGCGGCCGCCGCGCGCCACTCACCGCCTCCGCCGCCCTCCTCGTCCATGTTGGGGCCGCAGGCTGGGCGCCCCGCAACGGCCGCGGCTGAGGGAGGCCCGGCGCTCGCTCCACCCGCCCGCCGCCTCACCGCCGCTTCCACCGCGCCGCCCTGCCCCGTGCCTCGCCGCCCGGCGCTGCCTCAGCCCCGGCGGCAGCCGCCGCCTCGGCCCCGACCCAGCCGCCCGCCCCGCTCATGTGACCCGCCGAGGGGCGGAGGGGGGAAGGCAGGCTCGGCCGGCCCCGCGCCGCCGCCTCCCGGCCGCCGGCAGGGGCGACCGTGCTGCGGGGACGGCGCCTCCTTCCTTCCTTCCCTCCCTCCTTCCTTCCCGCTCGCCCCCGCCCGTGACTGCTCCCGCTCGCCGCGGCCCGGCGGCGTCGAGGCCGCCCCTCGCTCGGGGGCGGTTTTGGCGGGAAGAGGCCCGGGGCGGGAGGCTGCGGCGCCCCGGCGCACTTGGAAACCGCCTCGAGGCGCGAAAGGTGGCGGGGAGCGCGAGGCTCGCGTGGCCTCCGCGTGCTTTCGGCTGCTTCGTGTCTCCTCCCCAGAACAGGGGTCCCCAGAGTTCCCCATGTAAGTGAGACAGCTTCTATGAATAGCTCAGGAGGATCCATGTTCCCTGTTTTGGTGATGGAAGCAATTTGCCTACTCACTGTCTCGGGACTCAAATTATTATGGTATTTGAGTCCTCAGCCCAGCCCTTGTGTGAGACCCCACAGGAGAGRAGACAGTGGCACAGCCGGACTCCATAGAGGTGAGCAGAGCCGTGGCGGCCCGGCACACCGGTCCCAAACCACCCCGCGCTGGGTTTTCTTAAAAACCTCTGATGTCAAAGTTTTATTCAGAGAGGAAACTGTGGGAGGAAAGGGTCAGCCAACAGGAAAATACCATTTTTTTCATCTTCCTATTACAGGCTGGCACAGCAGGGTGAGGTCTAGGGAGCCGTGTCTGAAGTGCTCACCTCAACACTGCTGCTCACCATCCCGCTGAGAGACAAGGTTTGGCTCTGACAGATGCTCTGCTAATGGAGCTTTGCCAACTTGCCTAGTTGTACAAATATCACAAATCCTTAGAACACCCAGCTGTACTTCATATTTTAAAATTTAAGATCATTTTTCTTAAAATTCTAGTGGGTCGGTGTCTGAAGAGGAGACAATTACATGGAACAGAAGCATTACCTTGGTAAGAGATTTATTTTAAAATGTGTATCTGTAAACTRCAATGAATTGAAGAGAGTGTTAAACTTACGGTGTCTTCTTCAGGGTTATATGACTGTGGAACTATGGCAGATATTTCTTGAAACATTTGAACTTTTCGTGTGTATATATATATATATATTTTATAAATATGCTTAGATCTGCAAGAATCTTATCCTGTAAGTTTTCTAGGTCAAAACACTGCTAGTTTTGCATATGTTTACTACATAGAGCTGTTAAATCTTTAGGTGAGATGTGGATACAATAAAAACTTTCAAGATCAAAACTTTTATCTTTTTGCCTCCWTTTCCTGTGCATAAAATAGGCTATAAACATAACTAGGACAGGAATATATTTTTAAATGTATAAAATAGACTGGAAAATTACAGTGATAGTTCTACCATGTAAGAGTAGTAGTTCTACTATACCAGAATTACCGTTTCGTTTTTGATAATTTGACAGTAACAATCACTATCAGTGTTTACTAGGAAGCTCCCTAGAAGCAAGAGCAGATGCAAGACAGGTTATAATCTCAACACATTTTCAGACACGCTCCACTGAACTATTTCCTACTTGTGAGTAATTCTTTTGTATCTGTTCTGGGCTGGCTGTTATTGTTCTACGTTTTGAAATACATACAAGTTTCCTTCTTCTCTGCATATTAATAAAAGTTTCAAACAACAATTTTCTAAAAATTGCCTGATCTTTTTTTTTCTTTCTTGCAGCCTCTTATCTGGTCATAGCTTTATTTTTTTCTACAAGAATGTTTTGTCAATTTTAGATTTGCAAATCTAACCTTTTATGTTTGAAAGAACTTAATAGGCTGTAATTCCTGCGAATAATAGCTGATCTATTTAAATTTTTCTGGGGAAAAAAATTCCCTAGAATTCTCTAGAATTGACATTCATCAAGAAATGCTATTAATTCCATAATGATAATGGTGCTATTTGCTGATTTTTCAGATCATCGGTTTGTYCTTATTTTCCTCCTTACCTTAGTCTTTCTTTTGATTAAGTTTTCCCTGAGTAGTAATTTATTATGCATTTTTTTTAATTTTAAAGGGTTAGGAGCCTGTCTATTATGATATTTGTGCCTGTACAGAAGGTCAGTAAAGTCAAATGCATTCCTCACATGATATTTTCATGGCTTAAGGGTCTCATTAAATGTTGAGCTAGCAAGATAGCTATGGATTGCCTTTTAAACTAGACAGCAAGAAACAGTGAAAGAAAATTACTCTTCTCCCATATTTTTAATAATCAAAGAATTTAGGAGTAGGAAAAAAGACCTGCTGGTTATCACAWCCTTCCCTTGACAAGGGTGACTTTCCTTTTTTTTTTTTTCCAATGTAGTTCTTTATCAGTTAATGAAAATTCTGGAAGTCATCTTGGTTTCTTCAGCTTAGTTGTAGAAAGAAATAAGAAATAAGCTTTATCTTACTTTGATAAGGTTCTTTTTTCAATAATGTAAATGTTTCATTAAAACAGAATTTCATTTTATGATGATAGGTTTTGTAAACTTTTTAATTCTAATCAAAAGCATGAGCTATGGTGATGTTCATTACATTGACAATAGTAGGGAATTATAGTATAACACTTTATTAAAAGATCTGAGAAAATCCTTAATTGCATTTCTTAACACATAAAGAAATCAAATAGTTGCCATTAGCCATCAGAGTAGATGTTAGCTTCAGACACGGAGAGACTGACTCTGTGAGAGATGACTTTCCATTGGGAGGAAGGAAGAATCTTTCGGATCTTAGTTAAGGGGGTAGTCATCCAGTATGCAGGTAGTCTGGTTTCAGATATCCTCAGTGAACACATTACTCATGCAAATCTGGCTCATTGTGACTTGTTCGATTTGGGTAAAAAGGTTTTACTGTTACCTGTAATGAGACCTCTTTCTATGAAAACATATCTACATGTATTTTATAAGGATATAACTAAATATAAAAATACAAAGAACAAAGTATTCTCTATAAGAATATTCTTAAAGAATATATATGTATTTTAAAAASAGGGTAAGTCTTTAAAGACTATAGCTGTTTTGCGGCATTTTATAAATGATAATTGTTTGATTTTATTACTTGTTCATTTAGATACTCAAGGGTTAAAAATGATGCAGAAATTTCATTTCCTAAGACAGCAAAGTCAGTTGATAATCAGACTGATTTTCAATGACTCTCAGCTATTGTAATTGTATTAAAGATTACTTTTGTTTCAGACCTAGGCAATCAGAAACTTTCATATCTTAAGAAGCATTGCCTGATAGTTTCCAGGCAGGAAAGTCTTAGTTCATCATTGTGTCTTTTTTTTATTTATCAGTACTTGAATAAGCTGGTTTTCTTGAACCCCTAAGGCAAACTCTTTGACTTCCTCTGTCTGGCAGATGGGTTTTAGCCATGTATTGTTTCTTAAAATTTCTATGCTGTCACACATATCATATTTGTCTCAGCTGGAAAAATACATTTATAGAAAATCCCGTTTGGTGGTTGTCTTACCACTTTCAAAAGAGTTTGCACCTTCCATTTAGTCCAAATAAATTTTACGTGCAAGTATTTTATATTGCTTGGGGGAACATCAAAGCTCAAGCTCAGCAAGTCAACATCTTTTATGAATGATACATCTTGTATGGATAAAGAGCCATTGCCTTTAAAATAGTCAAAGAAACCAAGTTAAATAAGCCTCTTCTCTAAGACTTTAGCAGTGCTTTTTTTTTCCAGATGAACTTGTACCTCAGTCTGGATTTCATTTGCAGCTTATTGCAGATTATGATTCTTGATGTATTTTTAGGGTTTTTTTTAACACTTCTAAATGGACATCATTTACTCATAGCATCAAATATGACCGGTTTTGGAAACCAGTGGTGCTGGTTTCCATTGTGTAACCTTCTGAGGGGCTGTTGGTGAGTCACAGTGTAAAGAACACCAGAGCATCCCGGAGAAATGTTATGAATTGTGGCAGTCCATCAGCTTTGTTATATTATGATCTGCAATGCACTTTGCATTGCTCTATCTGTATTAATTATGTATATTGTCAGACACACAAAGGATAATTTCTAGCATGAGAGCTGTATTTAAAATAACTGAAAAAGAGAACTTGGAGTACATGAAATTAAACTGATGAGTTGGATTTTGTATTGAGTTTGAGAGGGATTTTCCTAAGAAATTGAAAGAGTTTGATGTAAAGCAGGTGGAAGCCATTTCTCCAGAAGAGAGAGCACCAGCCATCACCAGACTCTGTTCCTACCCTGAGAAGTACCTGTAGTCTTCTGGCTAACCCCAATTTGGGATGTATAAATGTGTGCTACTCTCCAGTCCAGTCAAGGCGTGGGCTGGCAGCCGCCCAGACTGGCTTCTAACAGTTCAGCTGACATCCAAGTGACAAGCTGGTCTCGCTCATAGCACAGTGTTAAAAAGGTTGGATCAGCTGCTCTTGTTGATTCAACAGTGAGCATTGGAAATTCAGTTGTGCATCTCCATATGAACTGGCTCCAGTTTGGGCTTCTGGCTAGTCCGCAATGCATAAACCTGGAATTAACAAGTATTGGACCATAGATTTAGACAGGAATAGGAACTGGCAACTAATGATTGTGACTTTTAGTGCTCAGTCATATTGATGCCATGGCTTGTGGAGCCGTGGTGTAAATCAGCTCACTTGAACCCAAGATGAAAAAGATCCTAAAATCATTCCTTTTAACTTGAATTACTCCATTGATTACCTCAGTGTAGCTACACAGAAGATGAATTTGGTACCTTACAGTCCTTCTGTGGTCAGAAAAATAACACTAGTGATCTCAATCAAMATAGTATTGAATAATCATAGGTCAACATAGTATAAAATAATCATCCTTAAGAAACAAATTGGTAATTTAAGCCTGATATGACAGCTGTTCTTATTTTTAGTCTTTTAGTGAAAGAACAATAGGTCTGGAGAAT